TTTTACATTTAAATGTCATATTTGAAATGTCAGTTTTGACCTCGTCTGTGACAACACAAAAAAGAGCAACATATTGACACACTTTCTTAACACTGAAACATCTTCATCTCACACAAACTCCAATAAGAGCTCTCCACTCTTTTTTTAAATCCTAATGACCCTTTGTGTAAAATAGATTACATTAATCTGGACAGAAGAGGCACACGTGCAAACACACACCTCTGCTGATTTAGTGCGAAGCCAATTAAAGATTATTAAGCAGAACAGGGAAAATGCACATTGCACAGAGGGCATTTACAATAGAGATTGCTCAAATTTCAATGGGGTCACGAAGTGTCTTTTGTGGTGCGGTGTGTAATTGGTGTAACTGAGATTTAGTTTGTGGAAGCGCAACAGCAACACTTCTGTAACAAATGTGTGCCAAAAAAAAAAAACAGTGTTTTTCCAAACTTCTGCCTCTAAATGATTTCCTATTGTTGTTTTTCTGTTAGCCTCACAGGATAGAGGATGTTTCACAGCAAGATCAAGTATAGCAAAGTCTACCAAAAGGTATAGAAAATGTGTGTGTATGTTTAGTGAACGAGGCCCATTGTCTTATTAATATTTATTTATTTTAAGTAATTTTAGTAGAAAAATGAGAGACAAAGGTGATACCATAATTGCAAGGTAATTTGGAGCTGAGCAGAACCTACATCAGTATATAATTTCAAGCTAACATCAAAACATCACAAGACTTTTACTGAGAAGTGATAATGTTTTGTATAATATTGTAACCCACTCTCAGACATGTATAATGTCATTGGCTGCTGAGCTGTCTGTGTGCTGGAGCTGAGCTGCAGTGGCACGGTGTGATTCGCCCAGGCTTAATTGGAGTGATTGTGAGAGCATTGTATGGCCCCCTTCACTTTTTCGTACAAGTTCCTCACTCTATCTCAGATGTTTCTGTTTTCTTATTCAAGAAAAGTAGGAACAAAATTAAATGTTGTGGTAATCAGTGTCATTAGTATTATTGAGATAATTTTAGGGTTTTTATTAATATTTTGAATTTTTTTCAATGTTTATATTTTGTTTTCCTTTTAATTGTAGTTGATGTTTTGGGATGCAATTTTACATGATTGTTTTTTGGTTTTTGTGTCTATATAGTTGTTATTCATTTTTATTTCATTTTTATTTTAGTACATCAAGTTAAACTAAATGAAAATGAGGATTGTTGCCTTGGAAACTAGCTGAAATAAAATAAGGTTAAGTTTATTTTATATTTTATTTTATAATAGTTACCATTTATTTTATTTCAAGTAACAAACATTTTTTTAAATAGTTTTTAGTTGACTATAGTAACTCTGGTGGTAATCAACATTATCTTACACCATATGTCAAATGCTGTTGACTGAGAACCCTTACGAATCACACCCTTAACAGCTGATATAACATCTCAGTCCGTCTCTTTCAAATCAAATCAGCTGAAAGTGGCCTGTCCTTTCCCCTTGTTTTGGCAGCTTGACATTATCAGGAAACGTGTGAATCATTGTCTTACCAATCACATCTGCATACCATATCACCACATTCCCTGAAACATCCTTACGTTTTCAGCAGCCATGTTAGTTTACCCCACTTCACCCCCCTCACACCTCAAATCTTGTTAGTCATTCTCCAAAAGCGTCAAAGACATCTTTATTGCGTCTGGTCTGGCAATTTTTTTCTTCTTCTTCTTCTTCCAGTGTGACAAGATAAAGGCAAGTCTGCACTTCAAACAGCTTCTGTTGGCTGCGCAGGAATAACAATCGGCGCTTCATTATTTATTTTTCGCCTCTGTTGTCTCTGGCAGTTATCTTAGCCATACGTTGTTATCCAACAACCCCCCTGCATGGTCCCCCCAGCCCCCTCCCCGACAGTCCTCCTCCCGTTATTATTACGAATTCAAAAGAAATACTTTCTGAAGTGTAGCGAGCGCCTGGGGAGCTGATTAGCTATTTACAGATGCCACCCACAAAATCCCATGACCCTTGGAGTGGAGGCTGCTAGCAGACAAGCCAATTAGCAAAGAGAGAGGCTGCAGTCTGCTATTAATGCCATTATTCTCTCTATAATGTCTGCTATTGTTATTCTTTGTGTAGCGGTGCGGTGGAAGCTGAGGGCACCTGTGTGAACCTGTTAATGGAGGTGCTGAGTGCCGGTGATGGGGCTGAGAGAAGGGCAGATGTGAGTGGGGAAATCCCAATTTAGTGGCATGTTGAGCTGGCCGCTGCTTTGGGATCCATTTCAGGCCCACAACGTTAACAGGATATGATTAGTGACTGCTGGGAATCCACACTGTGGATGAGTGAAAACACTGGGGCTTTATTGTATGTATGTATGTCTGTGTGTCTGACTGCTCCTGTGGTTTCCTGTTTGTTTTTTTTATTATAAAAAAATGAAGAACTTTGGGTCCATTCAGATGCTTTCTTGCAAAATGTGTGCTAGATAGTTAAACTGTTGTTTTGCTTTTAAAAACATATTTTGAGGCATTTTTGTCCATCTAAATCTTCTAGCTGTTTTAAAAATCTGTTTGAGCTGCTCAGAAAGAGCTAATTAAAGGTGGGGTAATCAATTTTTCAAAAACGCTTTAGAAAACTGATTCGGGCTGAGTAGCAAAACAAACTTGTAGCCAATCAGCAGTAAGGGGCGTGTCTACTCATGATGTGGAGGAGAGAGCGTTCAGT